ACCCAAGACACCGCCGACCAAGATGAGACCCACAAGACCCAAGGACCCCAGGACACCACCGACCAAGATGAGACCCCCAAGACCCAAGGACCCCAAGACACCAAGACCCAAGAGACCCAAGAGACCGCCGACCAAGATGAGACCCCCAAGACCCAAGGACCCCAGGACACCACCGACCAAGATGAGACCCCCAAGACCCAAGGACACCAAGACACCAAGACCCAAGAGGCCCAGGACACCGACCTCAGCGACCAACCACCCTCCACGGACAACGCGACCATCAACCTCGTGAGCGCCAGGCGGATAGCCAAGGACCTGCGAGGGTCAGGAGTCGACGCAGCCTTCGTCCTTGTGCTCTCCATGGACACCACACCGTCACCCAGTGAGGACCCACGCACCAACGCCCTATTGGAGGAGTTCGCCGACGTGTTCCCCGAAGAGCTTCCAGGACTGCCGCCCCGCCGCGATATCGACCATGCCATCGACCTCAAGCCCGGAGCCACGCCCCCCTCCAAGGCACCCTACCGCCTGTCAACGGACGAACTGAAGGAACTACGCACCCAACTCGACGAACTCCTCGCCAAAGGCCTCATTGAGGCCAGCACAAGTCCTTACGGCGCCCCCATCCTCTTCGTCAAGAAGAAGGATGGGACCCGAAGGATGTGCATCGACTACCGACAGCTGAATGCCCAGACAGTCAAGGACTCGTACCCTCTTCCCCTCATTGATGACATCATCGACAGCCTCTGCGACGCCCGGGATCTTCTCAACTCTCGACCTGCGCTCCGGTTATCATCAGTGCGCATTCGCGCCGGGGACGAGGACAAGACGACCTTTCGCACTCGCTACGGCACCTTCCGATTTCTGGTGCTGCCCTTTGGCTTGACCAACGCACCCCCGACCTTCCAACGCCTCGTCAACAACGTCTTCAAGCAGGAAATGGACAAGTTCATGGCACCCTACATCGACGACCTCGTCATCTACTCCAAGAATGAGAAAGAGCATGAGCAGCACCTCCGTCAGGTATTGCAGAAGCTCCGCGACCATCGACTGTACTGCAAGGCGAGCAAGTGTCACCTGTTCCAGACGGAGTGGAGTTCCTAGGCTTCATCGTGGGACAGGGCCACCTCAAGATGCACCCTGCCA